ATGCTTACCGAGATTGCAAAATGGTATAGCGCTGTTTTGTTGAAAAGAGTTGTATCAATAGGCATTTGTTGTGTCCATGGTTACAGTTATATGCAACTTGTTTTTGTATTGTTTTTAGTGTTCAGGGTGTTCTTTGCAGCAAAATGTTCTCCATTTTTATCAGTTGCAGATATATTTTTTTCCGTGAATATTATAAGTTCTTGAAATTCTTCGATTTAAAAAAATCATAATCTTTAAATCTATTTTTGTAAAGGACATGGAACGAGAAAATACAGCCATATTGCATAATACATTACATTATAATAAAACCTTAACTATATGTGGTAGTATCGTATCATTTCACAACATAACTTGAAAACAGAGTAATGGTTCGCCCAAACATCATATGCTGGTTTAAAATTATGTTGTTATACGTTATACAGTTATAGCTTACAGTTTCTTTAATTCTTGAGACATTTTGTGTGTGTGTGTGTGTGTGTGTGTGTGTGTGTGTGTGTGTGTGTGTGTGTGTGTGTGTGTGTGTGTGTGTGTGTGTGTGTGTGTGTGTGCCTGCCTGTGTTTTGTGTGTGTGTGTGTGTGTGTGTGTTTGTGTTTGTGCTTATGTGTGTGCGTGAGTGTGCGTACCTGTGAAAAGATTTTTTTTTTTTTTTTTTTTTTTGTGAGTGTGTGTGTACGTGTGTGTGTTTCCTCGCGTGCGTGGGTGTGTTCAAGTATGTCTTCATATGTGCACGTATGTGTATACCTGACTGTTCTACTGTATGTGAGTGTTTCGAGTATCCGTGTGCGTACCTCTGTGTGCGTGTACAGACACATAAACATACTTACCATTCTGTATCCAATAAAACAGTCTGATGAGTTTTAATCCAGATATCATAGTGAATCTCATTTGGAAAGCTTGCATGTTGCATGCAATCTCACGGGTTGCAATCCTAACGAATACGTAAAATGAAGCAACTCGACTGAAATTGCGGTAGGTTATTACTCACGAAGAAAACAAACAAAGATACTATGAAAATTTAGGTGTTCCAAGAAAGAAAAAAAAGGAAAGAAAGAAAAGGAGAGAGAAAGAATGAATAAAAGGAAAAGAAAGATGAAAGAAAGAGAAAGAGAGATAAAGAATAAATTGCAATAAAATAAAGTAGAGGAAGAAAGATAAAAAGAGAGAAGGAAAGAAAAGGAGAAAAAAAATGAATAAAGAAAAAGATAAAGGAAGAATGAAAAAAATAAAACGGATAAGAAAGAATTTAAAAACTCAAAGACAAAGCGAAACATAGAGAACGAAAGAAAGAAAGAAAAAAAAAAGAAAATAATGATTCTTAAAAATAATTTTGAATTATGTAATTCGCTGCCTATTATTTTTATCATCGTTATCATCATTACTGTTATTATTATTTTAATTTTATAATTACAAACAAATAAGTGATAATCAAAGTCTGTTTTTGTATGAAAACGGCAAAAAACACTCATTTTTTTATTCTATTGTTTTTTTTTTTTCTTGTTGTTGTACTGATAAATCCAAATCTGAACTGACAAACCAATAAGCGATTATCAGAATCAAATTTCTGTTTTGTATGAAAATGGCAGGAAAAAACGCACACTTTTTTTTCAAATTGTTGTTCTGAGAAAACCAATTATGAGGCTCTATTTTTTTAAATTACAGAAAAGCACACACACACTTACACACTTACACACACACACATACACACGCACACACATAAACACACACACACACACAAACACACACACACACACACATAAAAACAAAACAAAAAAACAAAACAAATAGAACCAAACAGAGGATAAGTAACTGCCACAAATCGGCTTCTACCTCCGTTGTATTTTCCTGGCCAGTTTCTCAATCTCCCGAATCGCTTCCAATCATGCTAATCCTCTGATGCCTAATCCCCTGCTCGTTGAATCAATAATCCCTCTATCTTTTCCTAATCAGATGATCAAAGTACCTCCTAATCTGTTTCAAGTTTTGACTTCGACGATCTGAAAAGATCAGATCAGCGAACGTCATTAATTTTCCGTGTTTATATATAATAAAGATTTTTTTTTTTTCATCTTGATTTCGTTATCAAAACCGTATTTGTTACATATATGGATTTACTTCTCACAATATACAACGAGGAATAAGTTTCATATATCAAAATTTTGCCGACGATATCTATATGTATACACACACACACACACACACACATACACACACACACATATATATAAAATCACATGTATACACTACACAATACACACACACACACACACACACACACACACACACACACACACACACACACATATATATATATATACATATTTTTTTTCTTTGGCAACATCTACATCAACAAACAGCCTAATGGCCTTTCCCTCTTTCTCCAGGGAAAAGAAGTCAGGAAAATCTTCGCTCGCAATGACCTTCTTGAAGCTCTTAACCTACCTGGTTCTTCTGTGTCTCTGGTACCATGAAGCCGCCACCGTTGCGAAGATCCCACGCACGGTAAGTAATAATAATAATTATTATAATTATTTACCTCTCCTCCTTTCCTTACATCTCCTCCCCAACGCCTTCTCTTCTTTCCCTATATCTCTCTTCATCCCTATCTCTCTCTTCATCCCTATCTCTCTCTTCTTTGGTAAGTAATAATGATAATTATTATAGTTATTTACCTCTCCTCCTTTCCTTACATCTCCTCCCCAGCGCCTTCTCTTCTTTCCCTATCTCTCTCTTCATCCCCTTCATATGATTATTAACAATAATAATGACAACGTAGAGTTTGGTTTTGACGCGGTCTTGTGACTTCAGATTAAATATGTCTGTCTGTTTAGTGCGCTTCTAAACCGTGTGCAAGGAATGGCTGGGGTTCAAAGCCACTGGCGGTGCGGGATTTGAACGCGGGTCAGTAAGATAGGCAGACGAGAACACTACATCTGCACTACACATCACAGTAGAAAGGGGGATGAGGATAAAGGATAAATAGGGAATTAGGGAGGGTAGAGAGAGGATAGGGAGGAGCAGAGAACAGAGAACGGGAAATGGAGAACGGGGAATATGAAACATTAATATAGACGATGGGGAATTGGGGATGATGGATGCGGGAGACTGGAGAAAGAGAGAGAGAGAGAGAGAGAGAGAGATAGATAGATAGATAGATAGATAGATAGATAGATAGATAGAGAGAGAGAGATATTTTAACACACCTTTCTCTCTCTCTCTCTCTCTCTCTTTCTCTCTCTCTCTCTCTCTCTCACTCTCTCTCTCACGGACACGCACACGTACATACGCACACGTCTACACAAACAAACAAACAAACATGTTTATACAAACACACACACACACACTCCTTCCCATCTGGATAACATTAAGAAGATTCCCATTGAAATATTGAATGGAGGAATTTTCATCCCCAGAGAAAGGGGGAAAAAAGGAAAAAAGGAAAAAAAAAAAAAAAAATCTGAAATACCCTCACAGATCTGGCACTTCGTCCTGTGTATTAGTGGCACTATCAATCATGCCAAGGATAATTTAGCTTAGAAAGGAGGTGCTGTCTCTCTCTCTCACTCTATTTCTTTCTTTCGTATTTTTTTTTTTTTTTCGTTATTTCTTCCTCGCTCGCTCTTCTCCTTTTTTTCTTGTGATATTTTTTTGTCTCTATCTACTGTCTATTTGTCACTCCTTCCTTCCCTCCCTCCCCCTCCTCCTACCCCTCCTCCCTCCCTCTTCCCCTCCTCCCTCCCTCTTTTCCTCCTCCCTCCCCCTTTCCCTCCTTCCTCCCTCTTTCCATCCTTCCTGCCTCTTTCCCTCCTCCTTCCCTCTTTCCCTCCGTCCTCACTTCTCCCTCTTCCTTCCTTCTCCCTCTCACACCGAAAAAAAATCTCGGGACGAAGTAATTGGCGAGGGAACCAAAGATCTTTTGAGAGGACTCGAGAGGGAGAGGCAAGGGAGCTTGGGTAAAGAAGGGAGGGGAAGGGAGGGGAAGGGAGGGGAAGGGAGGGGAAGGGAGGGGAAGAGAGGGGAAGGGAGCTTAGGTAAAGAAGGGAGAGAGAGGGGAAGAAAGTAAGGTATGGGGAGGGGAGGGGATGAAGAGAGAGATAGGGAAAGAAGATAAGGCGTTGGGGAAGAGATGTAAGGAAAAGAGGAGAGGTAAATTAAAGGAAGGGGGGGGGGAAGGGATGGGAGAGGGGAGGAGGAAAGGGAGAAGGAAGGGGAAGGTATTAATGGAAGGAAAGAGGGAAGTGGGGAAGGAAGTAAAAGGAAGATTAGGGGAGGGAAAGGGAGGAGAGGGATAGGGAATAGACAGAGGAAGAAGGAAAGGTAGGGAAAGGCATGGGGAAGGAGGAGAAAGAGGGAGAAAGAGATGCGAAGAGACAATAAGAGAAGATATTTCGGTGTTAGAAGGGAATCAGAGAGATAAGAAAGAAGAAGAGAAGAAGCGAGAAATGAAAAGAAATAAAAAAAAAATGAACAAAATTATAAGTAAAATATAGAAAGAAAGGAAAAAACAGTCGATATTAACCTTCCCGATGGAATTTGAAGAAAAATAAGAGAGAGAGAGAGAGAGAGAGAGAGAGAGAGAGAGAGAGAGAGAGAGAGAGAGAGAGAGAGAGAGAGAGAGAGAGAGAGAGAGAAACGGTAATATTATTTTAATATCGAGGGATCAAGCGAAAGTTGGCGATATTAAGAATCTCTTTTAGATAAAGGAGAAAGTCGATCGATGACAGAAGTTCTCAAGGGAAGGAAATGAAAAGGGAAGAAAGTGCTACGAAAAGGGCCACGAAAAGGTAAATATCACCCTTAAGGTCGAGAGACATAGAGGTGACATTCCTGTTTTCTTAGAATTAGACGAATAGGGAAATGGGGATACGTTTTCAGTAAAGAACGACGTAAAGAGAGACATAGAGAGAAACTAAGATAAAGAGATATGTAGGGAGATAGATAAATACATAGATAGATAGTTGGATAAACAGAATGATAGATAGATAGATAGATAGATAGATCA